AGACGCCATCTAACAAAGTGCGCCTTTACTACGTTCATTAGACGCATTTTCGCGGTGGTAACGATAAAATACGCCTGGTTCGTGCCCGTTCTACTTCCGTACAATGATAGTAAGTTAGAAAAGGACAGACGTCCAATCTTATTCTTGTCTCACCACTGATGAGTAGACCGCGCGACGTAGGCACGAAGCGAGCTAGCGGCGATATCGCAAAACTAGATCATCTCTCATTAGTCTCGTCTTTCTCACGCTACGTTTTTTTCTACGTAATTTTACAAGAAAAAAGATTTGGAAACTGGACAATATAAGACAATTAATAAATATACAAGCTTAAACATGCTGCTAATATTTTTTTGCTTATTTCTCGGCAACCACAAAAAATATCGATGTGTTTCAAAGAAAACAAAGTTCTCCACAATTTATCCTGTTGAAATTCAGAGTTTACAATAACACTAATAATATTAAATAACGAACTGTATACTTTACGAAATGCAATCGCGACGCAAGCTCACGTGAAAAAGAAAACTGAGAAATTTAACGACCGGCGGAAGATTTATCGAGGCGGGTGATATGATTGCCCATTTTCTGTGGCGTAATCTCTGTGGCGCAGTCACAGTAGATATTTAAGCTTGTATATTTATTTATTGTTCTATATTGTCTAGTTTCCAAATCTTTTTTCCTTGCAAAATTACGCAAAACACAACGAGAAGACGAGTCTGATGAAAGATGATCTAGTTTTGCGGTAATATCGCCGCTAGCCCGCTTCGTGCCACGGTTCGCTTATCAGTAGTGAGACAAAAATAGACCAATTGGACGTCTATCCTTTTCTAACTTACTATCATTGTACGGAAGTATGTACAACAGACACGAACCAGGCGCATTTCATCGTTATCACCGCGAAAATGCGCCTAACAAACGTAGTAAAGGCGCACTTTGTTAGGCGTTTCGAAAATACGCCTAACTCTGGCCTAACTAAAATCAAGCTGGTGGCCGCTTTCAGGCTTCTCTCTGATTTTAGTAGTGTATTCTAATAACGAGTTAAAAGACTTTAATCTTCAAATGCTATAACATAACTTTAATGCAAATGACTATTATTTTTAAATAGTGTAGATAAACAACAGATCAAAAATACTTCATTTTCAAATCGTAACTCAAAAATGAGCCGAACGAATATTTATCCGTCGTTTGGAAAATTAAATTGCGAATTATATATAAAATTTTTTTGTTTTTTTTATTTTTTTTATTTATTATAAATAACAAAGTCTTTGAGTCTGACGACAAATATATTATTGAACAATAAAATTTTATTATAACACAATAATTATAATATAAAAATTCAAGCAAAATTATCGCATTAATAATAAAATTACACTGTTACGTCCAAAATAAATAACTATATAGGGAAATTTT